CAGAAGGACTGAGAGACCGACAGAAAGATCTTCTCGCGGCCCAAGTGGCCGCTGGAGGGCGCGTCATGCGCCTCCGCGAGGATGTCGAACTTCAGATCCTCGTCGTTGGGTACGACCACCCGTGGAGGATCAGTGGGCTCCACCCGATAATAGAGGAGGCCCTCCTTCAACTCATATCGGTGGGGCCGTGAGCGCTGTCGCGACGAGAGCCAGTCGGACTTCGCGCTCGTTCCGGCCCTAAGGAACTTGACGATAGGCGCGACAGCCTCATCGTCCCGATACGTCATGCGTATCCGATCATATAGATCCGTTGTCACCCGCGTGATGTGGGCCAACTCATAGTCGGGACGCCGAGAGAGGGCGTCCGCAAGCACGATGAGCTTGCCCGGCTTGTATTCGACGCGGAAGTTGTATTCCGCGAAGAAGGACAGCCACCTCGCCATTCTTTGGGAGAGGTGAGGCGAGTTAGTCGCCGTCCTCAAGGATGCGTGGTCTGTGTAGATCACAAAGGGTCTAGAGCCCGGAAGGTGAACACGGAACTTCACAAGGGCATATTTCATTGCCAGGGGCTCCTTGTCATGGACAGGGTAGTTCCGCTCGGCGTCTATGAGCTGCCTGGACTGGAACGAGATGACTCGTTCCTGTCCAGCCGTGTCGGCCTGCAGCAATGCACATCCGATGGCGTAATCGGAGGCATCGCAGACGACGCTAAACGGCTTCGTCTCGTCCGGCAGGGCCAGGACAGGGGCCTCTTGGAGACTGGCCTTGATGCTGTCAAAATCATCCTGGTGCTCTTGCTCCCAGCGCCAGTCGACGTCTTTCTGAAGGAGGCTCGACAAGGGCTTAGCGAAGCCCGCGTACCCAGCGCTGTACTTGTGAAGGTAGTTGGCCAAGCCCAACCACATTCGAAGATCCTTCTGGGATCGGGGCGTCGGCCCTGCTGCTATGGTTTTGACCTTGTCTGGGTCAGCCCGAACGCCCACGTTGCTTACGAAGCAACCGATAACCTTAATCCCTGGTGACGCGAAAACGCACTTGTCAATATTGGCGTAGGGCTAGTTCGCCCGCATTACCTCCAACACTCGACGGAGGTGTCCTAGGTGCACCTCCATGGCCGTCTTGCCTCCTTCGGCACGGCTATGGATGAATATGTCGTCGAAGTACGTCTGTACGAAGGTACGCAAAGGGCGGAACAATTGCGTCACCAGGCGATTGAACGTCGCCGGGGCGTTAGACAAGCCCTGCGGCATGACGAGCCACTCCCAAAGCATGCCGCTTGGAGTGCTTACCGCGGCGAGCGGGATGTCACTCTCGCGCATCAGGATTTGGTAGTATCCGTCTACCAAATCCAGCGCACTGTACAGTACGCTCCCGGCCATGTTGCTCAACAACACATCCTTTCGTGGGATCGGTGTTTGGGCCGGCACCGTTGCGTTGTTCAGCTTGTTATAAGCGTGAACCAGACGCCACTTTCCGTTCGGCTTACGAACGCAGAAAGTCGGCGTCGAGTGCGGGGATTTCGACTCCCGCACCATGCCTGCCTTCGCTTTCGCGGCGAAGAAGGCATCAATGACCTCGCACTGTTCGCGCGGGAGAGGCCATTGCCTCGTGACACAATACTTTTTGCCGGGCACAAGATCAATCTCGTGTCGTACACCTCGATCCGGTGGGAGTTGGGTCGGTGGGTGTTTTGTTCACCACGCCCGCATACTCCGTCACCAAAGGATACACCGGATCCTTGGGGTTCTTGAGAATCTCAGAGCCCAAGCGCGCCTGACGCTGCTTGTTCATGTCTTCCAGGACGTTCTCGTCCAAGACAGAGGAGGAGTTCAGCTCCTCCTGAGTGGTCTCAGGTCTCATGAGTACCATCTCAGCAATCTCTCCAGCCTTGAGGCTGGTCAGGAAAGACTCAGCCGTCATTTCCTCGAGGTGCAGTATCTCTGCAACCTCTGGCAACGGTTCCAAGTGGACACCAGATGCCCTGACGGCTAAACCTGTCTCGCCATCGAAGATGTGATAACACACTTCCACCGGCCTTGTCGGAGGATCCCGGGCCCTGGACTCCGAGTCGCTTGAAGCGACGTCGATCGGAACGAAGTTCGGATCCAACTTGAGGCGGCGGCGGCGGCGTCTTTGCCTACGGCGTCTGTGACGGGGGTCTGTGCTGCCCACGTCTAGGAATGTCGTCGCTACGACATCCGAGGCACTCGTGGCCTCGTGTGGTACTGCTGTACCCACACAGGAAGCGTGTTCAACGCCTTCTACTTCAGTTAAGGTCTGGGCGACCGCGTGTGGCACTGTGTTACCCACACAGGAAGCGTATCCGACGTCTTTTTCTTCAGTTATGGTCTGGGCGACCGTGAGTGGAACTCTGGTACCCACTCTGAACACGCTGTTCTCAGTCTTCATGACAGCTGCAGCTGTCTGCGGAGCTAAGTTACCCGCCTCTGGACCTAAGTTACCCACTTGGCCGGCGCCGCTTCTGGGCGCGGCCACCATCGAAACATCCTCGGAGTCGTCATATACGTCGACGACTCCCAAGCATCTGCCGGATGCTTTGGTACTCTGGCAGCCCTCGCGGGCGCCTCGGGTCCTGACAGAGGTGGGAACATGACTCACCAATGCTCTGTCGGACTGCGCAGGGCGGCTGGCACCGATTGCCTTGCCTCGCCAGTCGATCCAGGGCTCGTGCTCCTCAAGCCAGGGCATGCCCAGGATCATATCATATGGATCCATATCGAGAACAGTGAACTGTTCGAGGCTGTCAAAGTCTTCAAACTTGACAGCCAGATCCACTTGGACGTTGGGGACAGTGACGACCTTCCCGTCGGCCAGTCGTACTGACACCGTCCCGTTGCCCTTGCTTTCTCTCAAAACTTCGGACAACTTATTGCTGTTACGAGCAACCGTCTGGCGGCGTGCGAAATTCTTCGACGCCCCAGAGTCAATCAAGATTCTAAAGGGATGATCGTATCCCCGTACACATCCGTGTACTACGAGCAACCCGCCGCTGCTCTTCGCCGATTCGAGAGTGCGAAGACTCTCAGGGGCTAAGTCCCCGTGGTACGCGCCACCCGCGCACCCATCACGAAGACTTAGTTCTTCCCCAGTAGGGCGCCCCGCCCCTACTGGTTCCCTGCGTTCCCCTGTCCCCGGGATCCTGGCTTTTGCCAGCGACCCTTGAGGATGGGCTTGGGGAAGGACCGTCTGCGGAGTCTTTCCGCGGGGCAGTCACGCTTGAAGTGGCCCATCTTCCCACAGCCGAAGCAGCGGATGTCACGCTGTTCGGCGGACCCGAGTTCCATGGGTACTGGTCCGTTGGAGCTTGTTCGACCGGGAGCCGACAAGGAACTCCCAGGCCACGCTGAGGCCGGCGTACGCGCCTGGCGATGGCTGTACTCTTCTTGAAGAGCCACTTGAATCGCCTCTTCAAGGGTGCTTGACTGCACCCGGAACAGCTGAGTGCGTGCGGGGCCCACTCGAACGCCGTCCATGAACACAGTCATCTTGATGTGTTCGTTGAGTGGGTTTCCCACTAGGGATGCCGTGGGCTCCCGTATCTCTTGCACATACTCGTGCAGTTCGCGCCTTCCTTGTTTACACGCGAGGAAGCGCGAACGCTGGCGGTACTCGTAGTTCGCCGGGAGGAACGCGGCTCGAAGCTGTTCGCACAGCTGAGCCCAGGATGTGAAACATCCAGGGGATGTTGCTTCCCGTGTGTACACCCAACTCTTAGCACGGCCGCTAAGGTTGGAGAGTGCAAAAGCAACACGCAGTTGCTCGGTCGAGATCAGAGCCGCGTCCATCGCGAGCTCTACTTCTCGGACCCAGAAGTGAAGGTTCTCGCCTTCCTTCCCTTCATACGGCTTAACCTTCAGCCGTATTGGCTTCGGGTGAGGCGGATTTGCTTCCGCCGCCGGAACCTGCAGGTTCTCCCGCACATGCGCGATGAGGCCCTGCTCGTACGCGTCGAATGCATTGACGCGCTCGAGCTGCTCAGCCGGTGTTGATACCACCAGGCTCTGCAGGGCCTCCATCCCGAAGATGCCTGCCATCTTCCGAGCCGACTCGAACTGAGAGTCGTTCATATGGGAGAAGTCGTTCCTATCCATGGCAACGAACTTCGGAGAGGTTTAGGTAGTCTACCCGCGGTGGCGTGGATTGACTACGAGTGCTACCAAGTGTGGCGGGGTCACACAGCACCTTGCGCTAGAGGAAGTTATCTTCCAAGAGTATACAAGCTCTCAGTGAACGGGTTCACAGGTCCTCTCTTTAATTTAAGAGAGCGAAGTGACCTAAATAAGGTAGATTGTAAACTGAGTATATTTATAGGTAGGCTAAGTTTGGGTTTAATACAAACTATTAGTTACCTATAGAAATGCAATGTCATTTAACCAATGGTTGGCTTTGAACGACCTTGGTACCTTGTACTAAATATCCCGGAGTATGACGTGTCATTGACACGTCATACTCCGGGATATATCGTGTCACACTGTCATACTCCTGAAGTGTACTTCATGTAACCGGGGTACACCTAGGGTTACGTACCCCGTTACATCAACAATGGACTCAGACCAGCTACAATCACTTCGAACGGAGTGGTGCGGAAGGCGCAACAAAGTGCTTGTTCGTATGAAATAAGATCATAAGAATGCCAGCGACGCTGCTGTGAAACTGAATAAGCTCGAGCGCGCGCACAGCTTCGCTGTGAAAGTACTGCTAAGTTATCATAGCCGTTTATTAAAAGAACTTCTCCTTTTTATTTCGGATATCCATACTGGTATTACTCAATGTTCGAGTTGACTAACGCGTTTTCCAAAGTAGTTTGGCCTCATCTAAGTAGGAGCTCTCATGCGCAAAAACATACGAGTGTAAATTTCGAATTTGCACACTTGTAAATTTCGAATTTGCACACTTCTTTTTAATTGGCACTTTACTGTATAGTGCATTTTACAAAAAGCAGTACTGCTTTTTACATATTAGTTTTACAATTGGTCAGTATGGCGTCGACACGGCACGTATCGCGGTGGCAACTGTGCCGCCCGCCCCATGTGTCTGGAAGCTCCGAAACTTTGCCATTTTTTTCCTCGAACAGCGCTGAAGTGGCTGCAGCAGTGTCACCCTCTACACCTCCCGTGTCGCTGCGCTATCTCAATGAGTTCGTTGGCAAACTGCATTGCGCTCCTGCCCTACTGCAACACGGCTTGTTCCCAGACGCAAAGGAGGTGACAGAGGTAAACTTCGCGTTCTTCACGTACACATTAGCGCTATATAAATCAGTAATGAGGTCTGTATTTTTCGTTCCAGAGCATGGCGCTGTTCAATGCTGTGCGACGATACATTGAGCCCAAGAGCGAAGAAGAAAGTCTCAAGATCAATGGAAAACACGATGGAATTGTTGTCGTAGGAGACGGCAATACTCGTGAGTAGTAAGCGTCCCTAAAAACATTTTTTTTGTAATAATATTTTTTTATTATTGTGTGAACAGCACGCACGGCTGCGATGTTTGCGTTCCGGATGCGAGGATGGAAGTGTTATAGTGTGGACCCAGCAATGGAGAAGGGTACAAGCGAGGTGAGTTATTGAAGAAATACAGTTTAAATATTTTCTATTACATTGCTAATATTTTGTTTTTACAGCGTTCAAAGGGCTGGGCGGACGTGTCGAATTTAGTGACTGTGCGCAACAAGATTGAGAATATTCGAATTACCTTGAGACGAGCGATTGTGGTACTCGTACACGCCCATGTGACGCTGGATCAGGCGCTGAGTGCCGTCCAGGCCGAGCAGGTGTGTGGTGTGGTCACACTACCGTGCTGCAACTGGTACGGCCAGCAAGAAATGCTCTTCGGACGTAGACCAGATCTCGT